GAAGTGCGCGCAAGGGCGTGGGGAAAAAATGAGACCCAAGCAGGGCCTAGGGTTCAGCACAGCACCACACAGACACATAAAGACCAACCTCGCCCTGCTGCCCAAAGGGTGCACAGCTCTGCGTGGCAGCCGCAGATCTCTCCGTGACTCTCGGTCCGAGAGCAGATCCCATCCACCTGCAGATATCAGAGCCCATGGCTGATGATTAACTCCCCTGGGCCCTTTCCCTGCCCCTGGCACCTGGCTCTGTCCTACAAGAGCTCATGCAGTGCCCCTGGTTGTTCACAGGCTTAACAACATCCAGCCAGCCTCAGTCACACAGAAGGAGCCTACAAAATGCCAGGGAATGAGCAGCAGAATTCCACGCGAGGAAATCCGCGGACACCGAAACAAGCAAAAATGTGCATCAGTGCTTTCTGTGTGCCAAGCACCACGGGGAAGCCCTCCAGGTGGGAGAGACGCTGCACTCCGCCTGCTCCTGCCCACAGCCCCCAGTGCAAGCTTCCGTCCCACCCTCTGGTAAACGAGCAAACTCTCCAGGTCCCGGCAGCGGCAGAGGCAGAGCCATGCTGTGGGTGCACAGACTGACCCAGAGCCACCGTGGCTGGCCATGCCACCTTCTATGGATTGTGAGAGCCACTTCTGAACTGTGGCCAGCAACCTCGAGAGGGAAACCACGGATGAGGACACAGCAGGCACACCCCCAGGGTCCCCAGCACGGCCCCAGCTCAGCCGCTCTTCCCTCCAACCTCCTGATGGTGGCCATCAGTGTGCTTTCCGTGGTACATATATTAACTGACTTCACACATGAACTCACTTTATCCTGCCAACCACTGAGCAGCGCCATCATGCTCCTTTTGTGGTGAGAGGAACTCACTTGCCTGAGGTCACACAGCCAGGAAGCGACGGGGTGCAAACTTGACCCAAGACCATCTTGACCCCACACTCTTAACCCCTCAAGATTTTCCGGTGCCAACTCTTGCCTTGGGAGCCTACACTGGGAACTCTTTCCCTCCTCTGCTCCCGGGGGGTAAGCAGGTAACAGCCGCAGCTGCAGCACTGACCCATCCTGGGCAGGGTTTGGGCACTGAGACTGTGCTGGGAAGATCTCTGGGCAGCCCCCCAGGTGCTTGTGCAATGCCAGAGTTTCCACACCTGCTCCTGGAAAGGGCTTTGCTGAGGGGTCAAGGGCGAGTGCAGCTGAGGTGTGCAAGCCCCTAGTGGGGGGGATACCCCCAAGGGAGCACACTCAGCTCCACTAAGGGCCCTACAACCCCAGCTCTGCAGGGAAGCCACACGCTGCATCAGGCCCTCTGGCTATGAGAAACTGCTAGAAAGATTCCCTTTTATTCAACAAGCGCACTCTAAGCTGGCAGGCTCCCAAACACATCTCAAGTACCCACCAGACACGCGGCCAGGAGGAGCTCAGCTCACAGAACATCCCGAGGCATTTATGGCACAAAAAGCGGGGATGAGGACACAGCCCAAACACCTGCCCTTCCACGCTGGAGTCGAGGTTATCAGAAGGCAGCAACGGCAGAACCCTTCCGAAAGCCCCTCAGTGAAGTGCAGTCAGAGCCTTCAGTCCGTGCATCCATTTCTCCCAACGGCTGAGGAACACAGCCTAGAAGTCCTCAAGAGCTGGGGTTGGAGCTGAGTGGCAGGGCCTTGTTCCTGCCCGAAAATTCATTTCTTAAAAGTCTTCAAAAAATTATTCATCAGGGGGCCGGGGACTTAGCTCAGTGGTTCCACTACCTGCCTTGAAAGTGCAAGGTCCAGAGTTCTATCCCCAGT